CCCCCAACTGTGCCGTGCGTCCTTGGAGATGATTTTACATAGACTGACCTTTAACATGATTTAAATCACAGTCATGATACAGAAACTTTTGGAAACTTTCTTATTCCATATGATAGCATAAGAACTACTGTTTAGTTCGATAGAATCAATGCACTGGTCTTGTGAGCATGGTAGGTCTGGTAGGTCTGATTATGGGACAACCACCGTACATCTCCCCCGCCTCATCAGCAGTGGGATCGACGTTTATATATACCTGATGATGTGCTTGTATTGAGCTACCAAGGTCATTACGAAGTTGATATTATTGATATTGAAAGCACTGTAAGACAAATGGGCACATCAGGGTTTTCCCAACAGATCGACAGTGCATCCCATGTGGAGCATTCCACGCAAGGCTTGGCTTCCAGAAACTGGTATTTTGGTTTTCAAGAGACCACAATTTTCCAACAAAAATATGAACTTCCCACTACTAGTCTGGTAGGTCCTGATCATGGGACAACCACCGTACATACTCCCCCCCCCCATCAGTAGTGTGATATACCTGATGATCTGCTGTTATCGAGCTACCAAGTTCATTTTGAAGTTGATTGAAAGCATTGTAAGACAAATGGCACATCAAGGTTTTTCCAATTGATCGATAGTGCATGTGGGATATTTCACACGAAGGCATGCCTTCCAACCTAAAATATGAACAATAGTACAGTGATCCTGGTACGATTTGTCACTCCATGTCATCAATCCAGTTGCACATCTGTGAAAACGAGTTGTTTACACTGTTATGATCTCCCTCGATATAACAGCACATGAGTAATGTTTTGTATGGGAAGAGGTAGGTCATATGTTTATCAGGTTCATTATCAAACGTGAGCAGGAACTATCTGTTACGAATAAAAACTTCAAAAGATCGCCAGAAATTACCAAACTATTAATACAACCATGGTTGTGGTCAGACTAACAGTCCCTGGAGCGTCAAGTGAACCTCCTAAGCCAAGTCCAACACTTCTGTTGGAAATACAAGCTCAGGTGTGTGTGTAGGTTATAAATAATTCCTCGGCAAATAAGAAATCCAAAGTGTTGTGGACAAGCTGAAGCGGAGAACCATGAAATCATGCGCTATCCTCTTGAATGCAAACCAGAATGAGCAGGTAAGCACCATGCTGATTCAGTGCATTCATCAACATGCTTGGATGTGGAGTGGACCTTGTGCGCGCCCAGATGACATGTTCGTTTGTTGACAAAACAGGCTGAGACTACTAGTATATGTTGGCTTGGAATTAGATTCACTGAGGAGCTGGGAAACATTGTTTCTGGACTCACATGCAGCTGTAAGAGCACTCCACGACTAGTGTAGTAGCAGGAATGGAACTGAAGAGTTGTAAGGTTAGATGTAGCACTGAAGCACTAACAGAGAACATTCATCATCTGATGCGGTGTAGCCCTCTTTCAGATCTGATATTGTTGCACGCAATGTGTAGGAATGTAAATGAATAATCTAAGCTTCTACCTCAAATGGTGCTTGGGTAGCAAGTCTTGAAAGTAAGATACATCTAGAGATCACCATACACATTCATAACAGTGGCAGATGCGGGATTTTCTTATGGGGGGGGGGGTTCCAAACTTTAAAATCGCCAGACTAAGTTAATGATTTTTTTTATATTATACAAAAACAAATTGAATACATTTTTCAACGCCACTGCATGAGTATGTGAGAGGGAGGTCATGAGTTGGTCAGTGTTGTTCCATTAAAATGCTTTAGGGTTGTGGCTAATTTGCAAACCAATTTGCCTATTAATTAGCATAATAATTAACATATATAAACTAAATTTTTTAAATAGAAATTCGATAATTACCAAACAAAACGTTTGTTGACAACTCACCCCTAATGTCTTTGTTTTACTTCACCTTAATAGTTCTGTGCATGTGCTTGTAATTTGTAAAAGCATGAATTCACGAATTTGCCTGAGTTCTGTTGTAGTTTTACATGTCCATACAGTTACAGTATGTTTGATAAACACGAAAACTTTGTTTTCCTTTCTTGATCAGTAAGTGAACGTTTTGTGTCACAGTATTCCAGTACACAAAGTTAGATACTGTACTCTGTATGTGTATATAAATGTCTTCTCTGGTTCAGCTCTGGTACACCCACTCGTATGTTATATTACCATGGCAATTACAATATCATACAGTGTATGCTTCTCTTTCGTTTTTTACACACAGGTTATATTCCAATACCTCCGTAATAGGAATATCTCAGATGTCCAGTTACCAGCGAGATGCGGGGTGTGATTCCCCCATAACAAAAGTGGTATTCTCAAAGACATACAAGACAGCTAGTACGAAAATTTCATCAATACTCGCACGTTTTGGATTCAGTCACAACTTGTCATTTGCATTACCATATGATCATAATCCTGGTTATTTTTCGAGAACAGTACGCTTCAACAGTGAAATGGAGAAACACCTGTTGCCACCTCTTCCAGGTTCCCGATACAGTATGTTAGTTAGCCATGTTCCATTCAACAAAACAGCTATGAACAAAGTGATTCAAAATGCCACGTATATAACAATATTACGTCATCCTGTAGCTGCGTACGAGTCCGGTTTTGCATTTTTCCAAATTCCTCTTGTTCTTCACATGAATTACACTGCCAATGAAGACCCATTTGAAAAGTTTCTGTCAAATACAGATCTGTATATTAGCCGCATTAGCGATTCATACTACAAAACATTACTGCGAAATAGACAAATGTTTGATATCGGACTTGACCTTAAATACTACGGTAATGAATCACACGTGGATCACGTGATACAACAAGCAACAAGTGATTTTGATTTGGTGATGATTGCTGAGTATTTTGATGAATCGCTTATTCTGTTAAAAAAGCTTTTATGCTGGAAATTCGAAGACATTCTGTATGTACAACAAAATACAAGAAGCGACAATCTGCGGTCTGGAATTAACGACTGGAAGCGGAAGCAAATTTTGGAAATTAACAGCGCTGATTTCAAACTGTATCAACACTTCAAAAAAACCTTCTGGCGCAGGGTTTTGGCTTACGGTGATAGTTTTTATGAAGAAATTTCGAGGTATGTTACAGAAAGTGCTTTTAGAATGTTTGGATGAAGGGAAGTACGTTATTGACTATGGGAGTCGAAGAAATATGACAGTTTTGAAAACAACGCACCCAGTTACTGCACCAAAATAATGAGTTGGAAGCTAGAGGAATTAGTCGTAAGACAACAAGGATTCGCATGAACCAAGAGTCGTGCTGAATTGTCAAATAAAGACTGCGCGAAAGAGCACATGATTGAAAAACGTGGACATTGTTAGAAAAAGCATGCCAGAGCCAGTTCTTTGTGAAATTGCTAAATGAGCACAACCGTGGATGTTGTATTCATAAAATAAAGTATTCGCTAACTTTCAATTTGGATAATATAATTGAAAATTGTTTTAGCTTATGGTGGATACGTCGTTTGTGTTAAATTACGTTGTTTCCATTTGAAATGTATGGCTACAAGTGCATTTCTTTTGTGTCTTAAATAATAATGAATACAATATAATTCAGAAAGTCTGCATTGGTAGTTTTACCCGCTGTATTACCACATATAACGACATGTAATGCAATAAATTATACTAGTGCTTTTACATGTTATTTGTTTCAAAATGTAGTTTAGAATCTCAGATGCTTACTTTAATTTTGTATTTATATGTATGTATGATTTAGACGTTACCACATTTACTTAAACCCTAAACAGGTTATCTATAAACTATGTATGGCATCACATTAAAGTTGTCAATATCGACATTTATAAAGCACAAAAGCGAGATAAACTATAGATATACCGTAGTTGTCCGAGTATAAACCCCTCCGGGAAAACGGCAAATTGTCGAATAATTAGGGGGGCTTACGAAGGTAAAGTAGCACACAACACGAGTATCGAAATCACGGCCATGTTCAAGTGTCCTGTAATAGACGCGCACCTCACTACCCTGCACTACCCACCCCAATGCAGACGGCTCGAAAAGCGTGTAATGAACATGGGTCTACAGTTACTAGGTGGACATGTAGACGTTTAATTATGGTAATTTTAAATTAAGACAAGAAGCTCAAAGTAAAAGAATATATGTATTGAGATACAAAGAAAAAACGTCGTTTCCAAATTTGAAAACAGCATTGCTAAAGTATGTGAGTTAATGATATCGTCCTGTTTGTTTAATGACATACATTCATCGTATCACAACAAAGACCATTGCATGTAAGAACGGCGCATATCTTGGGTGCATGACTGTTTTAGGTGATATTTACATTGTGACTTGATGGCAGCCCACCATAGCCATGTGCATAGTCATTGATGTGACATACATGCATCCAATAGTAAATACGTTTGTGCGCCCTTCTAATGACGGAACTGAACTTCTGTGACGTTAAAATGACGTATATCAGGGTGGAGTCAATGTCGTTCAAATCGACCACTGTGATTGGTTGTTCAGGTGTTCGGCATTTAGAATTTAGTGAAATCTCAAAACATAACCTTCATTGATGAGCGACTACAGATCGAAACGATATCGACGCTTTGAAAGGTATTAGTGTCATTTACGTCATTACTCGTTCTGCCACTAGAGGGCACAATTTATAAAGAAAAGGTATAATACAATACGGTGTCCATTCAATAAATGATTTACCTAATAAATGTTTGCTGGGTTAACTAATTTACCACCTATTAAAATGCCCTAAAGATGATACCCTTGTTTTTCCCCAACTTATATTTCACATAAAAGCAAATTCTGATATTTCGTTGCAAATTAGCATTTTTGCACCCCCCCCCCCCTTTCACACACACACACACACACACACACAGTTCAGCAAACTGGAGAACCAATTACGTCAATTTGCTAACAAATATGTCAGCGGAAGTTCTCAATACTAGGTACATGCTAATGTGTCTTTATTTGGGGCTATACAAATGTCTTCCAGCGAGTACCAAGTTATATCATATACCCCAGTGGTTAACAAAAGAGCCACTGCGTGCAATGCTACCACAGTGGTATACATTTTTTTGTGCAGCGTTTTTTGAAGAAAACAAAACTTTATTACATCTGTCTCACTAATTTATTACAATTTTGCTTTGAAAAACACTTTCACAAAGTAAATAGACGTTATGGTAGTTTAATGCAGTAATGCTTCAGTTGTCTTAAACAGCGCCCTCTAGTATAACCAATCAGCATAAGGCAATGCTTATAATGGGAAATGACGTAAAGGCTAATCTCTATGAACCAAGAAATAATTGCGTGACTTTGGTTTTAATATGTCGACAATTATTAAGTTGTAAGATTGTTTTTAAGTTGAACTGTTTATAACTACTTAAACTGGGAATCTTTAAACTGGAATTATGAGTCTAATAATCAAGTGGGTCGCTATTTTTCGTGCATGTATTGTCTTATTTTATTCAGAAACAAGCCATATTTGGTGTGTGTACAGCGATCCACTATACGAAAGTTGCATATATTTTCCTATCATGTCATACTGGGGTTATATAAACCTCAACCCAATCCAAAACCCTTGTTGGAAGTGGTCGTATTAACAGTATATAGCGCCCTCTCTATCGGATTTAGTTGGACATATACTAGTAGTTGCATCCAAGTGAATCCGTCGGCGAGGGCGCAGTAACCCACGCCTGTCATGTCAGACTGTGTTTACATTTAAATAAACTGTTGAATAATTAAGGCACAGTGGACTACATCTGGTCCATAATACAAGAAGCCCATATTCGATTTGTTTATGGAACTCACGCAACCGTGATATCAAAATCGCGCAGATGTTTCATGTTAGTTACGTCACATAGCAATTTGCTATATATAAAGCGGGGGGAGTCGTCGCCTGCGCATGCGTCAGGTGGCCATAGCGTGTCATTGTTTACAAACAAGCGTCTACCCATGAGCCTTTGCGTTGCTAACGTGTGTTGTAATCATCACTTGGGACTCAATTCCCGCGCGTGCGCAGGTGACAACCCTCCCGCTTCAATTGTTCAACTGCAAACGGAAAAATACACAAAGATACACATATAGAGTTAATATCAGGGTTGGATAAATCTCAGACCACTAAAATAATTTAAGGATATTATTAAGCAGTGTCTGCTAACAAGCATATATTTAAAGGGCGGTGGTCATTGCGCCAAGTCCTGATCAATATGGTCGTCATAGCGACGTACACAATGCGTGAAAATACATTATTAATTTGGTTACACACATTTAGCACATGCACTGCGCGACGACCACCGCACTTTAAAATTGAATTTTGTATTTACTAGTATCATTGGTCGAAATTTACTGAGCTCCATGCATTTGGTGCATAATTTCATTTTACCGTACATTTAACATACAGAGAAAGCGGAATCGATTAACTTGTGAGCAACCATAATTTAATCATTTAGATTTCAATGTTGTCACGTATACCAAACAAGGGGATTCCCCCTGCTGTAGTGAGGTCGTTGACCCACGTGCACTGGGTGTCCATGTGGACACCACTATGTCCGCGACACGCAACACTGACAGCGCCATTTGCCTTATGCCTATTTGCCTTGTCAGTCAACTACAGGATCATATGTCATATGACTGTCATATGTATGAAACGCAGTCATTTATCATATACTGAAAAGTCAATTTCATTACTTACTGTTCTTTGACTAACATATGTTACATTTTATTCAAGAATATTTACATTATTTGCATTTATATTTGATGTTCGCGGTGAAATAAAAAATACACTCGAAGAAAACTAGAAACTGTTAGCTTCATGAATTCTGGGGAATAGTTTAAATGCAAAGACGGGCCGTCGATTTACCTAGTACTCATTTTGGAATGGCAGATGAAATATCTCATTTCCGATCATGAGAGGGCATTTCTCATATTGGGTCAAAGGTCAACCAACCGTGACCACTGATTCACTAGCGGTCAATAGAAGAATTTTCTTCTTATTAATATAATCTGTGGGTTGGCCCGATGAGTTGTGGGCAATCATAGTAGTCCTACTGCACAGAATGTTATCAATTTTTGTATGAATTCTTCTTGTTCAAAGTTATGAAGCGACATCGAAACGCCAATTCCGAAGAATATATGTCACCTAGAGCATTTATAAATACTGAAATTATTGGAAGGTGGTTTTCACGTGACGACGGGTTGTGCGTACCATGTGCTATTATATACAACACGTCTAAAATACATTATTTGTTAACACGGAATTCTAATGCGCTGCACGGTGATTGCCGCCATTTAAGGTTTGAAACGCCTATATTTAACGGCATGTACGCTATATTACAGGTAAACTTTGGATCTGTTCCAACACGGATATGCCCGACAATCCGTAGTACAGTCCACATGTACAGCTCATGCATCAACGCGTTATTTTAGGATGGTGACGAGTATATGGGAGGCTGCGAAACTCTCACGTTTAAAAACAGTCCGATTGATTAAGCTGTCTCGTGACTACATGACGTCACGGCTTGGAAATCACTGTGAAGTCTAATCTACATAAATAGGTCAACTTACACTTACCTAGCTCATTAATTATACAATAAAAAAACATAAAACATAACACACTTTGTGAAAATAAATATTAGTTTACATACATATATGAGAGCGTCAGTATGAAAATGGCGTAATAAGAGTAATTGCCACTCAACAGTATTGCGATTTGTAATATCTTGACATGTGTATGGAAATGAGTTTCCGGCTTGGCTCTACGCCATATACTACATTGTTTTGGTAGTTTTGTTTCACACGTGGATGTACATGTGGACAGCATATGCTCATGCATTTCGCGGTGTATTTAAGCCCGTGCATTTAAATAGTGCAATTCTCTGTATGTATACAAATGCAACAAGACTAAACTGGTAGCTGCGTCACATCATCAGAGCAGGTAGATGGTCGTCGATATTCCTTGGGTGTAAAAGTAATTAGTTTAGTGATTTAACTCGCCGCCTTACGCAAGACTTGAAATGATTCAACTTCGGTATGTTGCCTTACTGACGATCATTATGACGTCCGCGTTCACTGTCGCCGAAGATTATAATTGTGACTGTGAACTTGGACAGTTTTGCGATTCAATAGCCCAGGAATGCCAGCCG